GGAACCCAACTCATAGGACCGTAGGTATCAGTGGAATCATGTCCCAATGTTTCTTCCATGACAGTCAGCAGAAGACTGATACAAAGATATCTTAAAAAGTAATTAGCATAAGAGAGAGTTTACTTGGATGAGAATCTTACTCAAGAAAGATTTGAATGGGCATTAGCTCAGAGGCACTGGACAAGAGAGGTGTGGAGGAGGAAGGCAATTTGAGGAAATGAGGTTGCTGTTAAGAGGGGAGGGAGAAAGAGGAGAAAATAGGTATTTAGGTACCCAAAACAGAAGTGGAACAAGGATTATGTAGAACCTACTACTATGATAGGAGAGAGGAAAATTAGCCAGATAATTACTGGTTTTTTTTTTTATAGTCAATCTCATGGTCTCTTTTTGCCTGTTTTTCTTGATCCTTCTTCTGCTGAAGGTGGAGTAACTAGAAAGTCAATTATTGAGGTTAATAATCAATATGACTTCATAGGGATATGGGAGGATATTAAGGAGCATCTTGAGGGGGAAGAGGTTTTCTTTATCATTGACAATGCTAAGACTCATTTACCTTTTTGAAGATAGCTCAGAGGGCAGGAAATTACTCTTATGAAAATTCCACCCAATTCATCACTGGCAGATCTCAATCAAATTGAACATGTTTAGGCTCTAGTGAAAGATAAGCTTCAGAAGCATTATCTTGACCTATATCTTAAGAAGGACTCTGACAATGAGGTCAAAAAAGCTATTAAGGAGGTAATTACTACTTGTTGGAAACTTCTTAACTCAAAGACTTTTGATTCTCTAGCAGGTTCAATGGTGGATAGGATTGAAGCAAATATTCAGGCAGATAGATAGTACACTAAATATTGATTTCTACTATGAATTTACAGTTTTGTTTTTTGTTATTATGTTGTTGCGGTTGGTGAAGGGGTGATTTTTGTACAATCAAGTTATTTTTCTGTTCGTTGTAATTAGTTACTTTTGTTAACAATCAATACCTGTATAGGAAATAATACAAAAGGAATGTAGGCCCTACTTGCAATAGGTGTGACTGTCAACTACCATCTGTAATCACACTGAATCCTACATATGACCAAGTATGGCACAGCAACCAAATACCTCAAACCACTGAAGGAAAATTCGAAAACTCACCCAAGGGAGTAAATAGGCTCACGTTTAAAGCCATCTTCATGGATATAAAGATGAAATACCTCACTGAACCACCATAAATACTACTTGTACTATAATCAATAGAATAGTAATTACAATACTATAGGATTCTGACGGTAGAAACATAAAGTAATGAGTAAGGCAAGGCTGGTGAAACCCTGTCTTTGTAAAATGATGCAATGAGTACAACATGTTGAGAGTACAAGATGGTCATCAAGCAACCCCATGGGTGTTTCATATTGTGAGAAACTAAGGAGTCCTTTAAATCAAACATAAAATATATACTAGCCCAAAGAATAACATGGATAACCCTTTAAACAAAACCAGACTCTCTCCTAATCAAGCGTAAAACCTACAAGTAGGCAATAGATAGGAATCCATAAACATTTTCCAGAACAGAAACTACAAGGGACTGTGTTAAATAACTCAAAGTGCCAGCATTATGAGATTCCAGGCTAGTGACCAGAGGTGCTTGTGGGAACAACCTAATCTCTAACTAACCAACAATTCCCGATACCAGAATACTAAGCAAATCCAGATATCTGCCCAACATCGTGAACTATTGTGAGGTGATAGAGGCAGCCACAGGCTAATAAAAGAAGGTATGATAGAAAAGAACTTAGGTGGTTGTGTGAAGATTTATCTCAAGGGCCAAACCCATCATCACCTTATATAGACCTTCCTACAATTTGCTTACAAACTCAACTTATTATATAGATTGCAACTGCATCCCATATGACTATATTATTCTTTGTCCTCCTGACCTCTTTCTAGGTTATATGCATAACCCCTATAACCCTTAAAACAGGTTATGTGTGCAAAATTCAAGCCTCACAAGGCTTACTCCTATCCAACTAATGATTCCAATATAATATAATGATCATGACTTAAAGTCTAAGTCATGTATGAAACCCACATGACTCCTAAATAGGTCATGTGTACAAACAATAATCATAACATCATATGACTCAAGTGAGTCATTAATCAAAGCCATAATATATGAAATTATTTACAAACCACGCTGAATTTATAACAGTAATATTGAGAATTTTATTAATTTTATCTTTATATTCTGAAGAATACATTTCAGTATAGTTATACTCTTATGATCTATCTTCCTACTGGGAGTCCCTGTTACATCTATCTACTTAAAGTTTTCTCACTTTTCTCATGGCCCTTAAAAAAATCTTAAATTCATGGTTCAACATTCTTATAAGACTTGATGCACTAACTTGAAACTATAAAAGAAGGTCTCCAAAACATAATTGATGGAATAGATAATATTTAGTATGATATTGACAATCACAATGCAAATTAACATTACCCTTTAACTATATACCAAGTTCTCTTTATTTATAAAGCCATATTAAGCAACAAAAATTAATATGAACCTACAAAGTTAGGCTGAGCCATAAGGTTACAATGAGAAGTTATAAAGTTATGTTATACTGTAAAATTACAGTAGTAAGCGGAAAAGGTCATAATATTATTGTCATATTGAGCTGTAAAGCTATGTCGAGCTGTCAGACACTCTAGAAAAGTGCCCATAGTTGCAACTGAGCGAGAAGCCAGGAGTTGTAGCGGCTTACCACAACCTTGTAACGAGTACCCTCGCCCCGCCACCAAACAAAAACCCTCGCCACAGGAGAACTACCCAATAAATCCCTCCTGCAGGGAGACAAGAAAAACGGCCACGCAACCAACTCTTCCACGGCAACAGACTTTATTCATCACTTTTTCAAGCAGTACCAACTCACTTTAACTACCGCATTGTCTGGCACCGGTAAACAACTAATAGATATAATTTCCCTTGTTTCAAATTTCAATAACCTTGAGTTCCAAATTCTCCAAGCCTATAGAATGCTCACTGTTAGGTCTGCCAAAGAGTCGAGGTGGCTACTATATTGGAATTCTATGTTCGAGTACTGTTACAAACCTCATATCGCATTTTCTCCTCCGCTTCTTCATTTGTCCCAGCTGAGGTTCGGGGAACCATGTTTTAGAAGGATCTTCTACGGGCCGTTTCGTACTGCACAGAGGAGCAGATGCTGAGTTGAAACGCGAAGGCGAGTTGCCCTTCCCATAATGGCCTTCTGACAGTTGCCTGCGTAATTACAACTATGATACAGTATCATGTAGGACTCTATTCTTTCATGTTGAATCACCTATATTCCCCGACCAAATAACTATATCGCGCAATTATTGCGGAAACTATTCCTATTTGAATTCTGACATTTCAACAAGAATCCTTTACCTAGTACGTCACTTCCTTGATTGGAGATATGATGGGTGTCAGTTACGAAATCGTGTATTATCACTCGACTTAGTTCGTCTGTGGTCCCCAGACACCGACAATCCAAGCTACAACTTGGCCGAGAGAAAAAATCTAATGATTAGCCTTCCCCTCCAGATCGGGAAAGACATGGTGCTAATTATTTATAGCAGCGTTCGGGGTGGAGAAGCTTATGGAAAACCTAACTACTGATGGCGGGTAAGTTCCTTTGTTGCGCAGGTCAAATATGTCGAGGGATAGTTCGGCTAAAGATGGAAATCCCCCGATATAAATGGCAGCCCAGCAGAACTCCTTCACTGCTACAATGGCTGTGTGACACCCAGAGTTCAAACGACCTTACCATATTGATATCAAAGCCCGAACTTATAAACGGCGCGAAAAACCTCACCATATCCACAATAAAAACACAAGGCAAGACCGGATCATAAGGCTAATCAGCAACCCAAGAAATTACTTGCTACGCAGCCGACGCCTAGGAAATCAAGCTCACACCCCTACCAACCCCTCCCCCTCTCAGCATCCGCAACTAATAAATTACCACTCCAACCATGAACGAAAACACCTACTTGCACCTCTTCTCAACAATATTAGGACCTATAATGATTAGCTGTTATTCTCGCATCTTAGGAAACGAGATAAAAGTTTACCATGCTCCTCATACTCCTTCTTACTAACCCACAATTGGTGGAAGGCCCCTAAACTTGCCAAGATACTTCCTCCTAACCAGCTAGCGTACCTCCTCTCAACACTATTTCCAGCAGCCATGACCCTAACCCTAGGGGCAGGGAAGGCTGCGGCAATCTCAGCGTTAACTCTATCTGTAAATCCATAGAGGAGACTCCCAGCTCCGGTAATGACGATGTTATTAAGAATCATTTGCCGGAGCTCGACATCAATATCCTTCATAGCATTCGCTATGAGCTGGTTGAGACCCGGAGTAGTGTGGGGATCTGGATTTGGTGCAGTCAACATAGAGGGAGGATGGAAAATGCCTTCTGTAATGCGGAAGCGCTCAGAGTTGAAGACTAAATTGTAGCCATCAGGAAATTCAAAGGTCCTTCCACCGGGAGAGAGAATTGCATGCGCGGCTTCAAGAGGCGGGTTATTGTTCCCCGGTAGTGGGCCAGGACCAACCCACACCTGTGCTGTGCACTCTTTAAACTCGGTCAATACACGCTCCTCCTGGAAGCGTTTGTAAGATTCTGTAGGCTCCTCACCAGGAGCAAAGGTGCGGTATGTAGCTTCCGCCGGCTTCCCGACCTCCACGGCAGTCTTGGAGAGAACCTGATAGTGGGCGGATAAGGGAATATTCGCCGACTCAAAGTATGCTCTGATCTGGTTGGAAAGAAACTCTCCGCCCAAAGGTGATCTAACACAGCCTTTTCTAAGGACAAGTCCGTCGTGGATTGGAGTAACTGAGATGTTCGAAGCTCCAACATCGATCACCAATCCTGTAGACTTGCCACTTGCAAATCCGGCGCATACCCCGGCTTTAGCAAGATAGAATGCAGGAACATCATAATCCTCAAATGCAATCTCAATTGTCTTTTCCCTATTCTTCGGAGGATTCCACGATGGCTCAGTCATCAGTAGGGGATGCTCAGAAAGTGCCGCAGTCAAACGTGGTGTGATTGCTTCACGCCAGAGTGTGGTCGCAGCTTCCCAGTCGGCAACTATTCAAGTATTAGTGGAATTACGTGTTTTTATGGAGCCCGGTGTGCGGGATATCCAGGTTGTGCAAGCATTAAACGAGTCTCATGAGAATGCCGGAGGGGGACGGAACGGATTGCACACCTATTCCATCACTCATGGGATTCTTGACCTCCATGCCCGGCCGTATTGAGTGAACATCGTTGTCACCAATGAAATACTTTTTGCCTCCATTCTCACCGGCCTCTTCGAGTATCCCGTAATCGCTAGGAATCACGGACTTTGGAGTGTCTTCGCCGGCGAAACCTGCACGAATCCAGGCAGTACCCGGATCGAGAACTATTGCTGAAATCTCATCTACAAAATTGAGGGGTCAGCGAACGGTACTAGTTGTAAGAGTTAGAATGTAAAGGGGTATTACCCCCGCCATACTCGAAAGTTGAGGGAGCTTGATTTGAAGGTAAGACAGGCTGTAACCCGGACATGATGGTTACAGGGAAGAACCGAGAGGTATTAATGTAAGTATCCGAGGTAGAAGGAATCGATGAAGGAGATAAATTGTTTGTGTTGTTGTAAGGGATGGCAGCTGGTGGAGAAGGTCTTATGCACCGTTTCTCCTATGGAAGGAGGACGCGCTTGTGTACAAACTCTCGTCGAGGGAGAAACCACGCCTGGGAATTTTTTGTTTCATAGTGTGTGAAAGTTCCTGTCGGGGTTAGATAATCAGATTAGATTATCTTGAATCGGATTAGATCTTCTGCCCCTGAGAACATGGATCTTTAATCGTGTTCAGTTCAACGCCAGGCTCCGAACATCCCAGAACGTGCAAAGCCTTGCTGTAGTTCATTCCCCCGGCGCAAAATCCCCAGCTCTCTGCGCCAATAAATTTACCAGGGCTTGAAGTACTTGCAGTAAATTAACTGTTACCATCCCTTCAAACCACTTCTCTTCTCTTCCTTCTTCCTTTCAAATATTGCATTGGGGCGTCCTCTCCCTCCTTGAAGCCGCCACCTTCCCAATCATTTACTCTTTAAGCGACAGTGGAAAAGCAAAAGTATATAGTAGCCCCGTCCGAAATCCCTTTCTATTTCTTATTGCTACATATCGAGAGAGTTTTCCACCTCTCTCCCTCCTACACACGCTCCCTTTTGGACAACCAGTTTTGTTGGACCCGTCCCGCCAGTAGCAGTCATGCTGCGCTTTTCCACTGTCCGCTCCATCTTCTCACTAGGCACTCTCGACTCTCGCTTGACTGCGAATACCCCACGATCCTCCTCCCCTCCTAAAAACCCCGCCACTCCATCTTTAGCGGGAACCGCACGCAATGGGGAAAGTTCGCGCAGCCAGAAATTGCGCAAGGAGTCCTCGCCGTCGAAATGGAGAACCCCCGAGTTCTGCTCATACATCGTCGGTGTGGGAATAGCTGTAATCTTAATGTTCAAGACCACTCATGATATAAGTAAAGGTGTGCGCCTCCTTTGAAAGAGAAAGTAGAAAGAGAAAGCGAAAGAAATATTCTCCCACCTTAATTCCAGGGGCTACTACTGAAAAACCACATGAAACAGAATCGCATCCCAATTACCCTAAATTCGAGCCCCTTCTTTCCCCCGGCTGGATACCCGGGCGAAAAGTGGACAACTCTGATCAACAGTACGCCAATTTCCGCGACAACATACCCATTCTCGCGGGAGTTCTTATAGGCCATTTCCTCCTGCGCCGAGGCTTCGATGTGCTCTCCTCTAGGTTATTTCCCACTCCACCTCTCAATTCCTCGTACCGCCCGTCACACAACATCAATCGACGAAAGTGCTTCGACATCTTGTTCGCAGTTATATTTCTTACGGCACTGCACTCGCTCAGTATCATCAAGATTCTCGTTTTTCTCACCGCGAATTGGCTTATCTCCTTCTTTCACCCCAGCTCTATTTTTGTGCCAATTTTGACTTGGGGGTTCAACATTGGCGTTCTTTTTGCGAACGAGTACTTTGAGGGTTACCACTTCCGCCTCATTCTCCCATGGCTAATTGCCGGAGAAGGCGCCGGGGTCGGGTATGCGATGGACCACTTCCTCAGTGGAGGATTACTCCCGCGCTGGGAAATTAGCTTCAACATTACGGTTTTGCGACTCATCTCTTACAATATGGATCACTACTGGGCCGCCAAGCGACTGGAGGAAGCAGGCGATGTGATTGTTGGAAGGGATGAGGGAATTGTTCTGGAGGTACGTAGTCTTATAGGAAGAGGAGACGTCGAAAGAGCAGACGGGGCGGGGGGGACGGAGGTGGAGGAAGATTCCTCAGATGATGTAGAAGGTCAGGGCGCCCGACTGATTCTCGAGCAAAAGAAAAAACGCCTTGATCCTACAAACATCAGCGAGCGGGATAGGATCGATACACCAGCCGCCATGGAAGACTATGGATTCTTCAATTACCTTGCGTACGTTTTATACTCACCGTTATACCTCGCCGGGCCAATTATTACCTTTAATGACTTCGTTCACCAGGTAACTCCGCTTTGTCACCTCCTCCTCTCCGATCACTAACAATAATACTCCCAGCAACGCTACCCCCAACCTACCACCTCCCCAACCCTCGTAATAAAATACGGCCTCCGCCTCCTCTCCTCTATCCTAACAATGGAGCTAGTCCTGCACTACTTTTATGTCGTAGCAATCAGCAAAACCGGGCACACCCACGACTCATGGTCCTCTGATACGCCCTTCCAGCTCTCCATGATCGGGTACTTCAACCTACACATCATCTGGCTCAAGCTGCTCATCCCCTGGCGCTTCTTCCGTCTCTGGGCACTGGTGGACCACGTGGACCCGCCGGAGAACATGTTGCGCTGTATGAGTAACAACTACTCAGCGCTCGCCTTCTGGCGCGCCTGGCACCGCAGCTTCAACCGCTGGATCGTGCGCTACATATACATCCCCTTCGGCGGCGCCAGTCGGCCCATCGCGAACATGGTGGTCGTCTTCACCTTTGTCGCGCTCTGGCACGACCTTAGCTTTAAACTCCTCGCCTGGGGTTGGCTTGTGGTACTATTCGTTATCCCGGAGTTAGTCTGTCGGAAGGTGTTTTCCAAGCGACGGTTCGAAGGGCGGGAGAGAGCATATAGGTACCTTTCTGGCCTCGGCGCTGTTGGGAATATACTTATGATGATGGGGGCGAACCTTGTTGGATTTGCTATTGGTGTTGAGGGAGTTAGGGATTTGGTACGCGGCGTGTTGGGGAGTTGGGAGGGGTTTGGTTTTGTCGCTCTTGCGTGCACGGCACTGTTCATGGCTGCGCAGATTATGTTTGAGGTTAGAGAAGGAGAGAAAAGAGTTGGGATTGATCTTAGGTGTTGAGGGGGAGGGTTCTTGTAGATCTTATTGAGGCTTTGCCTCCTTTGTTTCTCTCCTTTTGTGATATGATAATATTATGATACCTGCTGTTTAAAAAAACGCTATAATAGGGCTCCGTTTGTTTTCGGTTTTTCTTTTTCTTTTTCTCGTGTGGTTTCCTATGGGGTTTGTACTCTAGGGCATGATACGGATTAGCTAGCCGGTTGGAACGGTATGGTGTGGTTGGGATGGGATGGCTGGGTGGGTGATGTGGATGGTGTGGCGGGTTATGATACTAAGCGCACAGTATCAGACAGTCCCTAGTACTTGTGCTCTCCTCGAGTACATCACCCTCCACCTTCAATGAATCACGATATGTGGAACGCAGCAAAATATATATATTCTAGCCAATCACACCACGACGTCCAAACATAGCCAGTCAATATCTAGAAAAACAACCCCCCTTCACAATTTTAGAAGAATTGAAAAGTGAAAAGAAAGAAGCCTCACAACCAATCACTCGCTCCCCAAAAATTTCCCCACTCGACTCAAGCCGTGCCGCTCTTTGCCTTCGACCACCCCTCATGCAACTTCCTCTGCTTCTCCCAGAGCTTAACCAGTACTTTCCTCCTACTCTTTGTAACTTCCACCCCCTCCTTATCCTTTGTAGGTATCCCTTGGTCATCCCACTCCGAGAATTCACCGTCCGTCTTGAACATTTCCAAGTGGTTGACTTTCGCCAATTCCTCTTTCTTTCTATCTTCCTCTTCCTTCTTAAGCCTTGCCTCTTCCTTCTTCCTCTCTTTCTCCGCAGCGCGGCGTTCCTTTTCTTCCCGCGCCGCTATGAGTTCCTCCGCCGGGACGAATTTAATAAGTGCCGGCGCGCCTTTGGCTGACTCTCTGTCGTCGAGCGCAACGCCCAAACTTGCCAAATCGTGATCGCGGAGGCGGTCGGAGAGCAGTAGAATATCCTTCGAGATGGTATCTTTGGGGCTCGAGATGGCGAGGGTGCGGACGTTGTCGCGAAACGTGGAGAGGGTGCGGAGGTATGGTAGTAAGATGTCTTCCGCACCTGTGGAGGAGGTGGCAGAGTCGGCCCAGCCAATACGATCAGAGCCGTTTGGGGTGCTGGTTGAATCTAGGCCGAATATTGTCACGATTCGTGTGACCCACCTGGCAATTTCCTTGACAGCTGCCAGGGATTTGGTCCGGGACATGTATTTGTTCGTCGAGCCGATTAGGTCGGTCAGGGCTTTCATTGCGGTGGGGGTGTTAAAACTATCGCACAAGGCGGTGTGGAGGTTTTGGCGGGCGGTGTCAAGGCTTTTTTTTTTTGTCAACATAATCCACAAAGAGTTAATGAGGGGAAAGAGAAATAAGAGGTACTCTTTATATATAGCATGCTCCAAAGGTCCAAATAGCTGCTTGGCTCGGTTCCCCTTCTTCTCCTCTTCTTCTTCCTCCGCTATCAGTGCCTTCACGTTGGAGAAGAACTTTGCTACCGTGGTCTCCCAGCTCTTAGCTTCCATTAGGACCCCCTCCCGAACTTCAATGCCGTCTCTCCACCCGCCTAATAGGAAGACGACTCGAAGCCCTCGCGGGGTCCACCCCCCGCGGGTGAGTGCATCGCGGATGGAAACAAAGTTCTTTAAACTCTTGGACATTTTACTACCGTGGATTGATAGGTGGCCCATGTGGAGGAAATAGTTTACCCATTGGTGCTTTCCGTCAGCGGTTTTGGGGGTGTCGCAGCATCTTTCATAGTTAGCGCTATCGGATCCCCATGAACTAGGTGTTTTAGAGAGAACACACCCATCCCAGTACGCCTCACTCTGGGCAATCTCATTGTCATGGTGCGGGAACGCAAGGTCAATTCCCCCAGAATGAATATCGACTTGACCACCCAAGACTTCCGAGCACATTACCGAGCACTCGATATGCCATCCAGGTCGTCCCTTGCCCCACGGACTGTCCCAGCTTGGTTCTCCTGGCTTCTCTGCCTTAAATGCCTTCCACAGAGCAAAATCTTGTGGTGTCTTCTTGCTGGCTAGTGGCTTTTGCTTGCCCTCCGCTCCTCTTTCAACAGTATTTGATAGGGTTGTGGTTTTATATGATGCCAAAGCACCCTCACCATCTGCGATCAAGGACTCATCTCCTTTATTCCATGGCTGAAGCTTGGCATAATGATGGCCAGCGGCTTCATATGCTGCTATATCAAAGTAGACTGACCCGTCTGCTGTAGGATACGCAAATCCTCTATCGACGAGCTTCTTTACAAATGCCACGTTCTCGGGAATGAACTCGCTCACACGAGTAACCGTTGTGGGAGGGAGGACATTGAGTGTTGCCATGTCTTCGTTAAAATGATTCTCCCAGTAACTGGTAAGCTTGCTAAATACCTCAGGGGGGTATTCCCGACCTTGGTTTAGTGAGTCCAGGTAGGGAAGTAGGATTGAAGATGTAGCACTCCAGAAATCGTTCGAGTCTTCCGGGGTCTTCCGTAAGACAAATGAGGCAGTGTGTAGAGTTGTGAGATGCATCTTAAACTTTGTAGTCTTTTCGTCCAGGATCACTTCCTCCTCTTCCTCAGCCTTAGCAGAGGAGTTGAGCTTCCGCTCTCGCTCTTTGAGAACTAGACTCATAATCTCTTTTTGAGCACCCACGGCCCAAGTTTCAAAATTCTCGGGAGTCACATCGTCACCGGCTGCCGTATTCTTCTTTAGGTAAGCAGTCCAAGCTGTAGACACGGTAGACGCAACTTCCGGAGTAATAGACGAATTCCGAGAAATAAATTCCTCAAGCAGATGCTGCTGACGAGCTCTCAGGATAATCTATACTCGCCACCAAATCAGGAACTCGTTCAGCCATTCCATCCACCCCCACTCCAGGAATCCAGAAAGACCTAACCTTATCGTCAACATCCGTGACATTCTGGACAAATTGCACATCGAACCCGAAATAATCCCTCAATATCCTCCGCAAGACATCCGTAGTGACATAATTCCGCGCATGACCCAAATGCCCCGCATCATAAACCGTAGGCCCACAGCAGTACCAAGTAATCCTCCTGCCGCTGGGGTCGATAGGAACAAACACGTTCTTCTCCCTTGTTAGCGAGTTGTAAATATGAAGTGGGGGGAGGGGAGCCCCGTGAGATGGTGGGGGAGTCCACGCCGGCTGCTCTCTTCTAGATGCTGAAGCCATTCTGAATGGGGAATATGTTTTTGGCCGGGTCGTCGTTATTGCGGGGAATTTTGGTCGTAGAGATGAGATGGCGCGACGAAGGTGGTGGGGGAAGATGGTGTGGGGGAGAATAGTGAGCATGGAGAAATCTGTGATTCGCGGGGAGGGGTCGAGCCGCAAGTGAGTCAAGGTCCACTCTACAAGTACGGTACTCAAGTCTGAAATACTGTCTCGTGCAAAAGGTCTATCCATCCACCCAACCCTCGGTTGAATAATTCGCAGGCATTATTTCCAACGTAAAATAACTGACAATCATTATACATACTTCTATCATACCTACGAGCATTATTCGCATGTTCCACAGATGTTCACGACGAAAGCTAGGTTTCTACAGCCTGTCCGGCATTATAATGTCGTAAAAATATTACATTGATCTATGATTACACTGTACAATCATGCTAGAGACGTACTGTAATACCACCCATTGAGCAAGATACTACCACCTATAGTACTGCGTCTGGCCAACAAGAGGCCTACTAGGTAATTGCTCCCAAGGCTTCTTCCGTAACCTCTTCTCTTCCTTCTCCTTCGCAATCCTATCTCTCGTAACCTGCTCCTTCAGAACCACAGTGATGCCTAAAAAAAACCACCCGTCAGCGTCACGGTGACAAGAACACTCTCAAATCGAGCAGGGCGAACAAACTAGTATATGGTAGTCTAAGAGTATCGATCCTGCCACGTGCCCTGTGACTTACTTCCAGCCCAAACGTCCCTCTCCCAACCCAAGCCTGTTCGATATAGGTCTGCTGTGGATCCATCCTTTTCCTAACCACCGATTCGTTCCTGGCAGCATATAAATGCCCGAGAACATCCCTAGCAGCCTTCTTCGCTGAGAACCTCATTTGAATGATTGCATCCTCAATCTTCTTCCCTTGAATCTGCCGAGCTATCGGTGCCAACTTTTTCACGGAAGTTTTGAACATATGCGACTTGGCCAAGTGTTCCTTCTCCGCCTGTAGCAGCATTTCCCTCTTGGTCAATCGCCCACGACGTCGTATCTCCCTGGCTGTGGCTCGCTTCGGCCATGCCCAGTGCTCACGATTCGGATCGCGGATGTGAACGGTCGAGAAGGCGCCCATATCGGACCCTGTAGCAGGGACTTCGGTGGATTCATCACCGAAGATGGAGGATCCTGCTAGGCCACCACGCTTGTTGTTATAGGTTCCGGCTGCGGCTTTAGTTTTCGGTGACTGTTTGAGAAGTTCGCTGATTGGGGAGACGGCTGGTTTTGATGGAACCTCTTTGTGCTTTTTACTCCAGCCGAACCAGTTTATTATGCTGCGGGATTGGCTGGTGATGGTGGAGGGTGGGGTATGTGTAATTTTTGGGCGGAGGAGCCATCGAGTGGCCGTTATTGCGGACATTTTGGGTCGGTTGCGCCCCCGCAATTTATTCGATGGAGAGAGTGCTCCGAATGTTGTTTTTCTCGAGAGTTTGTGCCAAGACGTAGACCTCACAACCACCGCCTCCTCTGCTCGAGTAACTCTTTGGCTTCAGAAATGAAGATTGCTGGGGCAGGGGTCCCGGTCGTGTGGTGATTTATTGCACTGTAATGCAAGCAACCAAAGCCACTAAAAAGTGAAAGAGCCCAAACGGAAGCCTGTTGGAGCCCCAATTTAGGGGAATTAGTCGCGACTGTCATTTGGATTAGATTGCTTTAAGCCTAATTGTACACAAGCGACCATTATCCTCCACTTCACCCGTCTTCAACCGTGCTACCAAAGTCCAGTAGTTTCAATTTCCCAGCATCCTTCGGATGATATGCAGCGACTTTAGCTCTAACTAAGAATCTTGCCGCGGCCCCATCCTTCTTGAGGTTTACATACTGCGTAGTCTCCAAAGATGCATTCATAAGTTCCTAACCACCATTAGTACCCTCTCTATTTAATAGATTATCCGATTCCACAAACCTCCAATAGAATCTTGAACTCTTCCACCATACTTTCTTCCGGTCCAATCTCTCCCTGCCCCCACATCTCATCGATTCTCCTCTCCCCTTTCCTCGCCTTACCCCGCTTGTCAAAGCCAGTCTCTAGCGTGACCTGCAAGTCTTCTCCCACCACCGGTCCGCCCATATCCTCGGCCGCCAGCATTCTCGCCAGTCCCCCATCTTTCAAGAACGCCAGTAACTCTCTCAACAGCTTCGACGTCCTCTTCAATAACTCCTTCCGCTTCTTATTCATGGCCTTAATGGCGTCATCATGCACAACTCCAACATCAACCCTTTGCTCCTCCTCTTCCAGCTCCCCAATCCTTTTCCTCAGCGCTTCGGTGAGCCTATTCTGCTCCTCTAGGTTCCCCTCCTCAGCTTTAATTTGTGCCTGAACCGACCTCAGTCGCTCATTGACAATCGGGATAGCAACCTTCGTCTGCTCAATCACCCGACCAACGTTTCTATACGCAAGTAAAAGATTCAAGGGCGAGTCCCGACCGGGTAAGTAATCTATCGTCTGAAATGCCACATCGTACGCTCCTTTCTCCGCTTTCAGTCTACGCAGCTTCCTATGTGGTGATTCTCGAGACGCTATATCGTCTGGTATTGTGATTTGTGAACTCAACTAAACCCCATCCCTTTATAAGTCACCACCCTTCTCATATTCAGTAGAAAAAAGAAATCATAACGCAAACCTCCGAAAGCGCCATTTCTTCATCCATCAACCGCCTGCGTAGCTCCGTAGTAGCTTGCACAAGCGAAGCTTCATACTCAGTCTGTTGCGAGAGACGTGATTCTTGGGTTTGTGAGGGGAGATTTGAGGTCCGATTGTAGGTCTCGGTATGCGAAAGCAGGGCGTAGCGGCGGAGAACGGGTATATCCGCTAGGGGGGTTTGAGGGAGCTTGGAGGCCATTGCAACATCTAGCGTAGAGGGTTGATTGGTGGGGGAGACGGATAGGACTGAGGCGTTGTTTGGTGTTTTGGCTTATTTGTGCGGGTTGACACGTTTTGGCGCGGGTGCGGCGGACAAGGGGTCTTAGATCAGATAAGGTATGATATCATAAGAATCCGATGTTGACAAACTTTACTTCGAGTGACACCATGTGATTTAAGCGTATTGGACCGAACGTATGAGAACTCGCAGTGAGGATGTCCCGCCCCGGATTTATGTCCCATTTACGAGTTCACAAATCACCAGTGTTCGTGTAACAAACCGATTAGATTACGATTGGTTTGAACTAGGCAGACTCATAGGTTTCTGACTCATGGGGTGAGATTAGAATGGGCGGTGGAGCGCCAACATTTCTCGGTGATAGAGGTAGATGCCCGGTACAGTACAAGGGTCAGGCATAAAAAAGTGGTACGGCGCATAAGTAATGTCTCAGATGGATTGGTACAGCATTGTACAGTCAGCAGTACACTTGAGGAGACATTCAGTGAATCTATATTTCTTCTGATACTATGTAATTGATAATGGAAAACTTTCGTGGGTAGATTACCTCTCCAATAGCACATTTATCATCAAATCAGACACATACTAGTGCTCGTTAAGCATGGTGCTGGAACCTCTAGACTGGTATCCTCTTTAATAATGTCTTTATCTGGTTGACTATTAAAACCTAGCCTTTTGTCAAAAGAATCAATATCTCTTTGTAGTAGAGGTGGGATTGCCCTTATCTGTTATGCCATAGTCTATCTTATTTCTATATGTGATTGCAGAAAATACTTGATCTTTGATAGTTGGTGACTCTATGGTAAAAGTGGTGGTTTAAGAGGTACTTCACCAGTGCAACAGAGTTTTTGTAAGAGGGCATCTTGGTTGCACTGTACCCCAAAATCCACTTTTTTATGCCTGACCCTTGTATGATATTACCAGTATCGTTATTCTATGTTTTAGAGGTGGAGGTTGAGTACCGTGGCGGCGTACCTGTACCGGTATTGGTGCGCGAGAGATTCGATACTCGTAGACCCTTGGTCGACCCTAAGGAAGGTCCCCCCACATTGCTGAGGTGTAAACCAAGGTGCTGCTTAAATTTACGTATTACCAAGATGAGATCCTCACCACGCTGGGTTCCGAGAACCCGATCTGGTGGAAGCGAAGATTAACTGGGCCGCTTTGTGCCACAATTGCCTTGGAAGGTTAACTTGGTGCCCTTTATCACCGGTTTTTTGCCAAGATGTGGCGTTTGAAGGAAGCGGAAAAACTGTTCCTACGTGACTACTCGTAGAAGCGGCCAATGGTTTTCGGGGATTGACGACGCGACACGTCCCACAAGTTAATCATCAATAATCGCTTTAATCATAGGCGCGTCCTCCCCCACCACACACATACTCACCCCAACTCGAGTACCGTACTTGTGCCACAAGTGACAATCGCATCTTCTCCTTTCGCTAGCCACCATCGCCTCGTCCCTGGTTCTTGGCTGGGATATAGTGATGCTTCGACAGTCATACGTCCTTCCTCCTCTATGACCACGAAAAATAATCTCGGGCTGCATCTCACTTGGTTTCGACGAGAAAGCCCACAAGTACCACCACCTCGTGCAAACGGCGGCAATGCTCTCTTGCCTCCTGTAGCTCTCCCCCCAACACCCGCTGCAACATCTACTCCAGCTTTTTCCGCGATACCTCCTACACTTGTCCGTGAATGTAGCTTACCCCCTCCGCCTTTGCCATTGTCTGTCCGCCGGGAGAATCCTCGGGGGGCTGGGGGTGAGGGGATGCCGTTCATACCGCTCGAACCTTCCGTTACTACTCGAAGGAACAAACTTACGAGCCGATCGAAGGTTCGGAGAGCTACGCCATATGGTCAGGAATCGATGGTGCCCCCATCTTTGGATGCAACGACATCAGCACTAAGACTTGGGAGGAAACCTGGGGATGAAGCAAACAATGCGTATCCCACCCCTGCGCCAACAAAAAGTGCTAAATTCCCAGTACCAGGGCAATCACCTTGGTCGTTTGCTAATCCTGATGTTCTCATTCTAGATACCACCACTCCTGCGTTAACTGCTCAGAAGAGAGCTCCAGTAACTTCTTCTCGTGCGGAGCCCATATTGCTGGATGTGGATACTATCGATTTGACTGCCGAAGGTGATGAAGATGCCCCACTTCCTCGAATCACCACATCTGAACCTCCGCGAGGCTCGGGAAGCTCAGGGAAAACCAGGCACGAGTCCCCACTTGATACTCGAGATTCCTCTGCTCGCTCGGGATCGACTGCCGCCAGACTAAAGAGACTTACGCCCCGGCCTATGGAAGAAGACATTCCAGAGGAAGACTACGGCTCGCCCGGGAATGAAGCTGAGTGGTTGGTTCACGAGGAGTCGCTGAGGGCGAATGAGGTAGCTCAAACGCGCCGGCAAAAGGGGAACGATGAGGAGTTTCAGAGGTATATTGTGTCATCTGGGGACATGCTACCTGCTCCTATCATTGCAAAGGTGCCCAAGGTTAGCCGAGAGAATAGTGTCCGGGCTGGTAGCGTGCAATCATCTAGGGACAGAATTGAGGTTCCGGAGGGCTACCCGAGTAGAGGGCACCATTCGCCAGTACCCCACCCAATTTTTGACGATGAGCCCCCGCCTCCTTACTCACCTGCTCGACCCCAATTACGGGAGTCACCATGTCCGGATCTTAACAATCGAAGCTCTCCTATACCCCGCCAACGATCTCCCCCGAGGCCTGCCCTCAAGTTCTCAGAAAAAGCCGTCGTATCCAGGCCTGCAACTCATCTCACGACGCCAAGTAGCTCTGCGTCCGCACAGCTTGAGGTCACAGAGGAGCGGGAGGAGGAGGAAGTGATCACACACAGCAAGAAGAGGACCGTGAGAATCACTAGAAAGCGTGAGGCAGTGCCTGCTGCTGGGGGTCGTCGAGGTAGGCGACGGGTTGTTCCAGACTCAGATGGTGAAGATGACAGTGATGAACGTGGGCCGGAGCCTGGGATTATTGGAGTTGGTGATGACAGTGCAACAGGCTTGGTGGATCCTCAGGAATTTGGTCCCCAAGGGGAAGAGGACGAGCTGGAGGAGGAGGATGATTATGGATTGGGCGGTGTAGACTTTGGCGAAGTTGTGGATCAAATGGACTCAAGTTTTAACTATAAGGGGTCAGATATTGTCTCCAATAACCAGGAACCAAGGAGATCTCCCCGACGACGGAACGCTATTAAGCAACCGTCTCCTTTACAGATAGATTCTCCTACAAGACTAAGGCCACCTAGTCCTCTTAAGAAGAGCAAGCGACCTAAATCTCCAATACCACCAACTCCCCGTTCTGGAAAAACGAAAAAGACGAAGAAAAGTACCGATGGGGACAACTTTGAGGGGTTCAATCTAACCCGGTTAAAGAACATGTTGGAATCTCTCAAAGCTCAAGGGTTCGATAATGCAAACCGGATGGTCGAATTTTTTAATCAGGGTGTGACTCCTCCGCAAGATCTTATACAGCAGAACTCTGCTGTACGGGAAAAGATTGCGCTGTACGAGGCCCGAATCAAGGAATTGGAGGCCAGTGATATAGAAATGTATGAGAGTGCATTTGTTCGGGATTATTCATACGAATCGCCTTCCCCATCTAGGAAGCGGACCACTCATGCTGGGGCCACACTTGTACCTGAAACACCAACCCGAAAGAGAGGACGGAAGGCTCAACTGGAAGATGGTGATCCTGGAGGGGGATGCATCGGCGGGACCCAAATCGTCCAGCAGACTCAATTTGTTCCTGGAAGTCCATCCCGAAGGCAGAAATCGCATGACCAACTTCGGGATGTATCAAAAATGGAGAACTGGCGTGCACGAACCCATCGACCAGAGAAGGGCCAAGGCTCCGATGATCGATTTGCTATGAAGATATCTCCCCCACCACCGCAAGCTAGGCCTCACAATATGCCCTCTATAAGGCCTCCAGAATCGCCTCCACCGATGGAGCCTCCAGAAGACTGGGAAGAAGAATATGGTGAAGTTCCGGCGCCGGCGGTACAGAGTGATGAGGATTATGGTAGCGATATAGATGCGGCCGATTTCGGTATCATGATAAGTGATGATGAGCCCGAGGTCGCTGCCGTTCGAGGACCCAAGCTTAGGCAGCCATTGACCAGCACAGCTGCTAACTCACCACCTATGAAGAACATAAATCAGGTTCTGGGGAAGCCGCACCAGATGAAGCATACCCAGGTAGCTCAATTACAGGCAGGCGCTAGAATGCATGTTCAGAGGTCTTTGACCGTAGATATGAGCGATCCAGCGATGAGGCATAAATGGTCTCGTGATGTTGCCGATGCTCTAAGAAGGCGTTTTAATCTTAAGGGGTTCCGGAACAACCAACTCGAAGCTATCAATGCAACATTGGCTGGCGATGATGTCTTTGTACTTATGCCAACTGGGGGAGGAAAGTCGCTCATCTATCAACTTCCGGCAATCATAAGATCTGGAAAGACGCACGGTGTTACTATCGTGGTTTCTCCACTGCTATCGCTAATGCAGGATCAAGTTGACCATCTTCAAAAGTTGAATATTATGGCTTTCTTCATCAATGGGGAAATTAACGAAGACCAACGCCGGCTACTCTATGACTCCTTGTATCATGAGGATGTTGAAGAGATGGTCCAGTTGCTCTATATAACTCCGGAAATGATTGCCAAGAGCGACAAAATGGTCAATACACTTCTTAGCTTACATAGAAGGGGAAAATTGGCCAGAATTGTGGTTGATGAAGCTCATTGTGTTTCCCAATGGGGACATGACTTCAGGCCTGATTACAAGACCTTGGGTAACTTGAAGTCGAAGTATCCTGGTGTTCCTTGGATCGCCTTGACTGCAACGGCTACTGAAAAAGTACGAATGGATGTTCAATTGAATCTGGATATGCCACGAGCGAAGACTTTTACACAGAGTTTCAATCGACCGAACCTGAACTACCAAGTTTCGCCCAAGACGAAGAATGTTCTGGATGACATAGTCGAAATTTGCCGACGACCCGAGTATCTCAATAAAACTGGAATTATTTACTGCCTTTCGCGCCAAAACTGCGAACAAACCGCCGAGAAACTGAGAACGCGTGGTATACGGGCTCAACACTTTCACGCGAAACTCCAGGCGGATGAGAAGATCCGATTGCAGAAGGAGTGGCAGGCGAGGAGGTTCAATGTCATCGTTGCTACGATTGCATTCGGAATGGGAATTGACAAGCCGGATGTGAGATTCGTCATTCATCACACGATTCCCAAGAGTTTGGAGGGCTATTATCAAGAAACCGGTCGTGCTGGGAGAGATGGTTTGCCTAGCGGGTGCTTCTTGTTCTACGCCTATCCGGATACCTCAACCTTGTACCGAATGATCAAGGATGGAGAAGGGAGTCATGACCAGAAACGTAGGCAGATGGAAATGTTGCAGATGGTGGTGCAATACTGTGAAAACAAGGCAGAGTGTAGACGGGTACAAGTCCTACGTTACTTTGGTGAAAGGTTCCCTGAGCAGGAGTGCCGTGGCGGTTGTGATAACTGTGCGTCTGGGATAGAGTACGAGACCCAGGACGTCAGCGATTACGCGAGGGCTGCTTTGGAGATCGTTAGTCAGACAAGCGAAAAAACTATGCTATTCTGCATGGACGCATTCAGAGGTAGTGCCAATAAGGCGCACAAGGATGCGGGAAGCGGGAGGATGCAAGGGTATGGGTTTGGGAAGAGTTGGGTGAGGAGTGATTGTGAGAGGTTATTTCATCATTTGGCTAGCGAGGGCGCAATAATTGAACAACATGTCAAGAATGGTGCCGGATTCTATGTTAGCCATGTCAAGGTAAGTTCGGGTTGGGTCTAATGGTAAGTTTGTAAGACTAACGTCTGTTTTTCGCAGCTTGATGGTCGTCGGGCCCAGCCGATCTTAGAGGGCCGGAGGGTCGTGAGCATGTGCTTCCCAAAGGACTCGTCCAAATCTACCAAAAATCAGAAAACTGCCTCTTACTCTTCGACAATTATAACAGGATCAGTCTCCGAATTACAAATGCAGTCTACCAATGTTCCGTCACCGCCGCGGAACGCTGGACGAGCTCCCCCCCGAACGAGGGGGCAACGGGAGGCCGATTCGCATAGTCGGCATTTCATAAATGGGTATGAAAATGATGGTTTTGTTGGTGACGATGAGGATGACGAATATTGTCCTCCGCCTGACATACCGGACGACTTTGGGTTTATGCCAGTGAGGGATAGTTGTAGGTCTGGCGCTACTGTGAGAGGATCCAATAGGGTCGGTAGGCCAATCAGAGAGGATCCTGAACTTGCCAGATTGTCAGAATATGAGAAGGATGTCCTTAATAGATTCATGGAGGATGCCAAGAGATTGCGAGCAAAGATCATGCGACGTCAGGGTTGGGAGCGTGTTGGATCTGTGCTGGAGGATAGGCAGATGAGGACCATTGGGATAAAGCTTCCGATAGGTATGTTTATTTGTCCGATTGTCATATTTCCCGTTTCTAATCTGGACAATATCTAGATCGCAAGTCTCTTGAGGCCGCTGTCACCTTCCCTCCAGAGGGGATGAAGCTTTTTGGAGCCGATTTTCTCCAGCTCTCGAGGAGGTACGCAGAAGAGAAACGCGAAAATCTTCAAGACGCTGATCTCACCCAAGTCGTACCGAACGACGATGAGGAAACCTGTTCCGATGAGGACGACTACGGGGACAACAGTGAAGATTACGGCGAAGGCACGGCTGAAGCCTCATCATACTTCCCCCAGACGAGCCGAGGAGCAGGAGAGAGCTCGGCAAACACCGCGAGCTTTAGACCTCCGGGAATGTCCGACCTGCAAATGAGTCTGATGGCGCAAGGTATCAGTCTACCTAACACATTGGTAAATCTTGGGGAATACAGAAGCTAACTAAACATAGTCGGAAACATACAGGTAGTCAGCAAGTCGACCTACTCGTCCACCACACGTGTTCGGAAAGGCGGACGAGGCGGATCCCGCGGCTCGAAGAGGTATTCCAATGGAAGGAAGAGTTTCAGCGGTGGTGGCGGCGGTGCGACACAAGCTGGCCCCCGGGGGGGGCGCGGCGGCGGCTCTCGAAGTGCTAGAGGTGGTGGCGTTAATAATGGGTCTAGGTCCATGAACGCAAACGGAGGTGCCGACACGGGTGGAGGCGGCGGAAGTGGGGGAAGTGGTGGCACGTTTATTAGACCAATGTTTTAGAAGCGGATGTGGAGTCTTGGTTTGCCGTTCTATCATATTTTTTGTTTTATTTTTACGCCTTTTCTTGCTTTGCTCTGCTGTGCTAGTAGGCGATCGATCGGTTGCTATTCCCCTACTTCTCCCATCGTTCTCCGTTCTACATATGTATATTTCCCCCCCTTATCTGTTATCTTTCATCTTTCACCTTCTCGTGCATTTATTTGCGGTGGGCGCTGGTTTATTTCTTAATACTTTTCTTTCTCGGCCTGTCTTGTGGATTTGGAAGGGGGGTATATTGGGCGTGGTAGTTGTGGCAGTCGTACAGCACTGTAGTGGTGGTCGGGATGGGATAGCATTATCGTATCATACCATATCACAATAACCATTTTGGTATTATATTGGTCGTGTATTTGAGTCGTCGTTTTCTGGTTGAGTCTGGCGTTGACACATGGTAAGATTTCTGCCATCATGTGCCTCTGGAAATCGAGTTTGATATAATTGTGCCGGTGCCTTTTCCTCATAATATTATATGGTTAATAAATTGTAAGCTACTGGGCATGAGATTTGGATTGCCTTGGTATGGTATTTTCTTTCCTTTTCGCTTAGTGCTATATGAAATGGTCGTGACAATGACTGCAAAATTTACTGGGAGAGGAGAGAGTAGGATTCGCATACTGTTAGGAAGTGGCCGCGATTTGCGATTTAGTTTCTCCTACCTGCGGTCATTGTGGGGGGATCGGGATTGGATTGCGTTGTACTAAGGTGTTGGCTTTAGATAATTGTAGGTTCTCATAGTTGCTTTTTGTCATGAGGTCTCACTCGTCACCGTACTCCATTGTTGAAGCCAGGTCGGCAATTGTGGAGTTACCTGTGCGTATGATACCCTCCCATACAAACCTCTGCAGCCCAAACACTACACTGTCAATACAAAGCTCTTAGCGGTGCCACAGCCTAGAAAAGAAGGCAGTCACCTAGGACTGGCAGTCCGGGTTGTGTTAGTGTGGTATGATAATAGGTAAACAACTTTATTGGGGGAATTAGCCTAGTATTCGACACTCTATGCACTATAGCTGTAACGGGCAGGACAGAGGCTCGGGTAGACCAAGGCACACCACACAGAGGAGGTGATAAGGGGGATGAAAGATATAAGTGAGAATGAGTATAGGTAACAGGGAACAGAGTAACAGTAGCACAAAACACGGGTTCAGTGTCGGGGTTTTCAGGGGCAGGTCACAGAGTTGAGAGAAGTATGGTTCGTGCGGATCAAAACTGGAACCAGGCTGAAAGCAAAATTTTACGTGGCTGAGTAGCTCTAAATGCCAAGACTTAACCCTACCAGTCATAAAACAAGTAATCAGGTCTTTTGATTTAGAGCAGAAAACAGAGTTTAATGAATGAAAATGCTATGCATGTATAATACATAATATAATATGATGAAAACCTTGAATAATAAGTATTATATTGCATTATAATATTATAGAATAATAAGATATCTATTATATAAATTAAAATGATAATATACATATTAGATAAATTCAAATATCATGATATACTATGAGATAATAAATGTATAAGACAGATATAAAGATATGAAATAACTAGTTAATTATATTGATCTGTATCACTAACACTCCTATGATTCTGGTATTTATACCTTATTGTAGCTATAAAGTTCTTGGAGCTATATTCAATTCCATTGTAATAGGCATTGATAATCTGCTTAGGCTTATTTGTGTATTTCCAAATCTGTTGTTCTGTGACAGACTTTAAGGCTTTTGGGATGAGTGTACACAATGCTTTAATGCTATATCAGCAGTGATTATGTGTATAGTGCATTTTTGCCTTCCACATATATTTGGTAAAGTTGATTTCACAATGAAACTTGGGATAAAATAATACTAGATGATCAGGCCCTTAATGTGACCTCTTCCTCTAGTCTGGATTTGTAATTGCGAAGTCCTCTTGAGCTGCAATTATTGTCCTTGCGCAGCAATTCCCTCATTGCAAGCAGCTCTTTAGTTACTTAGTTGTTCCAAGCTTTAAGTACTGAAGAAGCAAACCTCTATACCAAAGGCCATGCCTCTAATACTTTCTTTAATCCCTTTGGAATTCCATTCTGATCTACCATATCCTGAGGCTCTAAAGTAAAAGGATTGACTCCTTGGTATAATTTACTTTGTTTTCCACTAAGATGAAGACTAATACTTTTTGCTAGAAGGGTATCTGCCACAAAAGTAGAATGATTTGTTGTAATGTGTTTGCAAGGTGTTAATTACATTATAGATTATGAGGTACGATAGTTGGCAGGTGGCCTGCTCTAGCAGAGAGGAGGCAAGAGCTGAGAACTAAAGGTAATTTCGAAGATGTACTGAGGAACAAAGAGGTAACTGTTCAACTAAGTATATTGAAATACTGTCTGTCGAAGTCTGCCTTTTCCATTGTGAAAACAGGAGGTCTTTAAATACACAAATCTGTTCATGTATAGCATCAATAAAACTAATCAAAGGTATCAAGCGATACATTTCAGTAAAACAAATCAAGTATCAAAACAATACTTAAAACAAAACATAAAACAAAACTAAGTATCAAATGATACTTAAAACAAACCAAGTATCAAAGCGATACTTGAAATAAAATATAAAATAAAACTAAGTATCAAATGATACTTAAAACAAATAAAGTATCAAAGTGATACTTAAAACAAAACATTAAACAAAACTAATAACTGAGTACCGGTACCGGTTACATTCCCCAAAATAAAACAACTGTTTAAACAGAACCTAATAATCATCAAAGGCAGAGTCTGAGAAACTAAAGGGTTTAGTTTCTGCTATAAGTTTCTCATTATAAGTGTCATACCAGGGGCAAGAAGAAATCCTAAGGAAACAATGAGACTCAAAGAAATGCAGATCACAGTAATTACGAATACCAGATTCATGCTGTACGTCCATCCAGGCGGTATTGCAATCAGGGCAGTAGTCTACCCAGAGGATAGTGAAGTAGTCCTCAGGTTGGATAACATTGCGGTTTAATAACAATCCAATAAGCTGTTGTCGTAGTCTCATATTGAGTTCCACATAGTTTGACATTGTTATGGTATTCAGATAGTGAATAGTGACTAGGTAAGGTTGTTGAGGACTTGTTCCATAATCCGGTTTTCCTCATCACTGCTTTCAAATTCTGACTCAAGGTATGGTGTTCAAAGTCCATTCCAGGCTTCTAGGTCAACTTGCCATCATTCAGTTTCCAGCATAGTTGCTATCCAGCATATCGTGATGTAATTAATCGTGGGTGGTAGAGAATTATTTGGCATATTGTCTTCCCACTACTTGTTTACCATGTCTATAAAATGCTCCAGCCCTTCTAGCTGTTCCCAGCTGTTTTCGCTGGTTGGGTAACCTTTTAATTTGATCAGGAACTGATTATTTCTTTTCTAAAGGTATTGGTTTCATATTTCTTCAACCTTCGATTCATTCTTCTTATCGATAATGATAGATGCAGGTTGAGAATGGGTTCTTCTAGAGAGCTTAGAGTCATTATTAGAGTGGAAGTGTTTGACAGCAGATGCTTGGAAGATAGCCATATTGTAGTGGTACATGTGTCTGTCTATCTGGACAATGTAATTTTCTGTATGCTCATTAAAGGATAAGACCT